AAGGACAGTGAAAGTGAAGAGTTCTGTGAGATAAGATTGAACAGTAGTTTCAATTGTCAGTAACTTTTACTCAATAATTTGTCCTCAGTCCTCAGGACAATCCAAGCAGTTCACTTTTCACAGCTCTGACAGTTCCCATTTTATAGACCCCACCACACACATACACATATTCATTAGGACTGATGCTGAAGCTCCAATACTTTGGCCACCTGATGCGAAGAGCTGACTCATTAGAAAAGATCCTGATGCTGGGAAAGATTAAAGGTAGGAGAAGGGGACGACAGAGGACGAGATGGCTGGATGGCATCACTGACTCAACGGACATAAGTTTGAGCAAGCTCCAGGAGATGGTGAAGGACAGGGAAGCCTGGCATGCTACAGTCCATGGGGTCGCAAAGTCGGACACCACTGAGCAACTGAACAAGAACCATACACATAGGGCTTTCCAGGCGGCACTAGTGGTAAAAAGCTGCCTGCCAATGCAGGAGACATAAGAGACTCAGCTTCGATCCCTGGATCAAGATCCCCTGGAGGAGGAAATGGCAACCCACTCCAGTATTTTTGTCGGGATAATCCCATGGACAGAGAAGCCTGGCAGGCTACAACGGGGTCACAGTCAGACACAACTGAAATGACTTAGTGCGCACACTCATCATACACATATCCTCTTTATCACTTCTACCCATTAAAAGGTACTGCAGCTCTTTATATTCCAGCAAGTTTTCTCCTAAGCACTGGGACAAGGTAAGGAAAAAAAAAAAAATGGGAAATGGTGAACTGTATGACTTGTGATAAGAAGTTTCAACACTTACAAAGCATTTTGTTGGTATTTTTATAATTAAGTTTTGTTAAACTCTTTCACAATGTTGTAAGTCAACTATACTTCAATTAAAAGTCCTTTGTTTTGTCCTAAACTGTAAGTATGCTTATATAATGATTTCTTCAAATAAATTATCAACTATAGGACAGGGACTAAATCACACCTTACGTATAACTCTTGATTCCCAGCATTTCATAGAATGAAGAACAAAAGAAAAATTCTTTAAAATGTTTATAATAAAGTTTTAGCTTTGTGCATCTAATATTATTTGGTCTAAGCACTTACTTAGCTCCTATATAAATTGATCTCACTTGCATTCATTAGATAAGGTTAGCTGATCAAAGGAAAAAAACCACCTTAAAGATGATAACTTTAAGCTTTCCTGTCCTAAGATGAAATGCTAAAGTAATAGCATAAGAATTACATGGTAATGTGCATGAGTAATACGCTTGGGAAGCATAATTTTTGCTAAGAAAATTATGTGAGGTGTTAATATGAAAGATTTTTTAATCAAATATCGCCTGGCTGGTGCCCCAAACGAGCTAAACTATGTTTCTTAAAAACAAACAAAAAACACATGGGCTATTAAAATCAGAGCAAAATATATAACAAAAAACTACATCTTATAAATCTGTCATTTCATGTAATAAAAAAAAAAATACTTATTACTGTTATTCTTGTCGTTCAGTCGCTAAGTCTGTCTGACTCTCTGTGATCCCATGGAGAGCATCACACCTGACTTCCCCGTCCTTCACCAAATCCCGGAGTTTGCTCAAATTCATGTCCAATGAGTCGGTGATGCCATCCAACTATCTCATTCTCTGTCATCCCCTTCTCCTCCTGCCTTCAATCTTTCTCGGCACTTTATTCCTGAGAGGTCATTACTAGAGGATAGCAATCTTAAATTATCCAAAAGCACCCTCTAGTGGCAAAAACAGAATTCACACATAAAAGTTGTATAGAAATATTGTGACAATATTTAACTAAAATTTTTCTAAATGAAAATAAAAATGAATATGGCTATTGTAAACTTTGTTTCAATGATTCTCCACTACTATATTCAACAGCACAATCAGTTGGACAAATCAATCTATTTTTAGTACTAAAAATACACTTAACCATTTTAAAACTAAAAATACACTTAAAGTATAAAATACATATATGTGTAACACTAAGAAAGACATAAGAGCCCTGCTGACTTTCTGTAGCTATGTACGTATTCCATTATTTTTCATTCCCTGAGCTTCTACTCATTGTAGAAAGTATCCACCTCGAGCCTAAGGAAAATTGAGTACAAATTAAACATGTCTAATATTTTCACTACAGACAGCTATAGTTTAAAGCTTTAAATATGGTATCTAATTAAGTATTCATCACAAATACTTTTTGCCACTGAACTGTATATTACCTAATTAGAAATGCTCATAGTGTTTCCTTATTAACCTCATTTCTCTAATGTTTTCAACTGCTAAATTTTATTGCCTAAAAAGAGAATTTCTATGCCTTAAAAATCTTGTGAAGAAACAGATCTATAATGCTTTGAAGTTATAAAACACTTCAAAATAAAACTAGTAACTCCTCTTAAAAGCTGACAGCAAAAAAAAAAAAAAGCTGACAGCACATAAAAAAACTGCCAGTGAAAACTCTTTTCTCATTTAAAAAGTCTGTATTTTGACTTTGAATATATTCTTCTTATTTCAGTAGATTCCTGTCTTTCTGTGTATGGAAAAAAGATACTACATCAATGAAAACCAACTGGCATTTTTTTGCTTCATGTCTTTATTGAATAGGTTCAAAAATGAAGACATTGTAATTTAAAAAAACAGAGTGAACAAGAGACAACAGCAGCCATACTACTCTTACTTTTCCAAGCTAATAACTTTCAGAATATTATATAAGCAATTTTTACAGTTTTAAGTTTAAATCATCTTTTCATTCTACCACACTGGAAGATACCTGTGGAAATAAATAAAAATAAAATAAATGATGCATAGATCTAGGAAAATTTCTTAAAAACTGAACTATTGCACAACAATCAACATGAAAATAATATATGCAAGTAATATAAAAATGCATTTAAATACACTGAATCGATATGTTTCATAATTCATTAATATAGTTCACCTACTTACTGTTTATAACCATCTCTGGGTTTTGGAATTAGATGATTTCTTACCAACTCATTTCCATATAGTACATTATAACATTTACTTGCTACAGTAAAATTCAGTGAGAAACAAACATATGCCACTTTGTTTAAGATCATTTACCTATCCCTTTCTTGGGCAGACAAAAATTATGTGATCTTTAAAAACATACTTGAAAGAACACAGTGTTCAATTCTAGATAAAGTAAGAGTTTAAAGTTCTTTCTTTATATGGTTTCTAATAATTAGAACAGAAGAACATAAACAATTTGAAATGGAACTCTAATATGTACATTATTCTCCTAAATTAGAGCTTATTTTAGTTGATGGAATAAGCTGTAGTATAGTTTTTTTGGCCTCTGACCATTCCTTTTGGCCAATATGACTAAATAAAGGCAACCAGAAAAAAAAAAATTGACAGTCAGGAAAGGAACTATAAGGTAAGTCATAAATTTCCATTACCACTAAGTTACCCTCTGCCCAAATGAAAAACAGAAACAAAACAAAACTAATGAATAAAATTATAAAGTTAAGTATAAATGAATTTCAGAGAAAGCTGTAAGCCACAAATTTCTACCCTAATCCTCACAGTTGATCAGAATCATAAACAAGAAGTTAGAAATTGCCTATAAATGATTTGCTTGTACCTTTATAATAAGATCAAGGTTTGTTAGGTTTGATTCAACAGAAATAACTACTGAATTACTGAATTTGGCTGCACAAGCAACCAAAGGCATTTACTACTAAATACAATGTTACACTGAAAGTGACAATGATTAAAAGCTGTATTTTAGTCAAAATAAAGGTGAAAACATAATTACATTTTTGTGAATGTTTAATTACATAATAAAGCAGCTATCCATTAAGCAATGCATTTTCAGAGGCTTTTTATTGTGAAGTAAATGGTGCTTCAGCACTAAACACTGGAAGAAAAACATGAGCAGGGAAAATTAAATATTAACATTCTCTTAACCTACCCATAAATACATATAACTATATTTCGAGTGATTAAAATTCAATCCTTTTTACCTTCATGCCCTGCACTAACGATTAATTATTGAAGTTAACTGTTTATTAGGTGAGAGGATCTGTTTTAAAATCCATTAATTTCTTCTAAATTCAAATACATAGATATAATTGCAAGATTTTGCAAGGAACTTTGTGCATCTTCTATTAAATAATTAATTTACAAACTCTGCAAAAATGAAGTAGCAAACTACTCTTCAGACATGAGATAATGGGGAAAAAAGGACAAAAGTGAAATCTGAAGACAATTAGAAGTAGAAAGAATGTATGTTCAACTAATACACACTGAGCAAAAAAAAATAATCATTCAGTTATAACTAGAAAAAGAAACATATGTATTTTCAGCTTTGTGTCTCTGAAAAGGGAACTGCATAATTAAGTTTTAAAGAATTGAGTAAAAATTTCTATAGAATTAATAATACACTGAGTAAAGAGCAACATAGGCAATAGCGGTTTTTCCCTCTCTTTTTAAAAAATATTTATAAATTATTAAAGAGCTCTACAGGAAAACGACACAACTAATTGTAACTAAAATATTCTCTCAGTTTCAAAAGTTCAAGCATTCCATCCTACAATGATAGTATCTGAAAATAGGTCAATAATAAAAAATGTTTATTCTTATGTTCTACTCAAAGTAATGATCATCTGAAAGCTTACAGCGCTAAGCACTAATGCTGGATTGTTTGTGGAAGTATACATAATGTACTTTAACAACAGAAAAGGAACACCTAAGTTAAATGATTCCACTTAAAAGTTATTTTCTGACTGATAAGTAGGGATGTCCTTGAATGGCACAGCTTAGGTTACCAGGTATTTATTATATACAGTATATGTACACACACATATATACATGCACATTACACGGCCAAAGAATTATGCTCCAAAAACTGTTGAAAAAAAGTATTTTGAGTAATTTTAGCACGAAATCACTAGAGGAAGTGCTCTAGATGTCCAAGCAGCAATAATCATAATATTCAGGACTAAGCTTTTTCTTTTTTTGGATTCTGTTCACAGAACCATTCTTCGAACGCCACATTCACAGCAGAACTTTGCCCATTCTACAGGGTATTTAGTCCCACATTCATGGCAGAATTTTGGTAAGTGTCCCGCTGAATTTCCTTCAATGCCTTTAGTGTTTCCACCATTAAATGAAGAGATGTAGTCTCCATCTGGCCTGGAGAGTTACAGAGAGAAAGATGAAACACAAAGTTCATGACAGTAATTTTCAATCTGTAGGCCTTGGGAAACAGAAAATAGTATTATTAAGTATAACTAAAAGGTTCTTAATCTCATCACTAATGCTCTTGAAGAACTGATGCCAAAGAACTGATGCTTTCGAACTGTGGTGCTAGAGAAGCTTATTGAGAGTCCCTTGGGCATCAAGGAGATCAAACCAGTCAATCCTGAAGGAAATCAACCCTAAATATTCATTTGAAGGACTGATGCTAAAGCTCCAATTCTTTGGCCACCTGATGAGAAGAGCTGACTCACTGGAAAAGACCCTGATGCTGGGAAAGACTGAGGGCAGAAGGAGAAAGGGGCAAAAAAGGATGAGATGTTAGAATGGCATCACCACCTCAATGGACATGAGTTTGAGCAAACTCCAGGAGAAACTGAAGGACAGGAAAGTCTGGTGAGTTGCAGTGAATGGGGTCGCAAAGAGTCGGACATGACTGAGTGACTGAATTGAACTGAACTTTATCCCTCTTGTATTGAGTTGTTTGGTTCTTCTGTAAAGATCTCTAATCTTTCTGTGATATTATACTGTCACTGTTAGTGACTTCAATTCCCTGTCTTATTCCTTTATATACTTCAAACTGACTTATTTTATAAGTAATGTCTGAAGAATTTCAGTATCTTAAGTCTTGGGCATATGTGTTTGTTTTCTGTTGTCACTCATGACTGATTCCCTGTTTCCCTGTATGGCTTGAAATATGTTTGTTTTGTAGTTCAGAATTGCAAGCTCTTGTGTGTTCACCTGTGAGAATCAGGAGGCCTGGGTTAACAGCATTTCACAAGATGGCTCTTTCTGCTTTTGCTTTTCTAAGCTTCGAGGAAGCTCTTCAACCAAGAGTATCCAAGTTATTTTTTCAGTTAAGAATTTATTAGAATATGCAGATGTTTTACTTTCAAACCTTAAACTCATATGAAGGTCCACCTATAGTTATGAATTATCAGTGGGAATTCACATCCCTCTGAGCCATGGCTAGGACAGACAAGTATCCTTGGAATCTCTTATTCCTGATTGTTGTTTTTTTTTTTCCCCAGTCCAGCTTTCACTCAAGAGATAACTCTCTGAATACTGTGAGAGAAGGGTTAATACAACCTTTCTCCTCTTCTGTGGACACATTTGACCTTGGGATAACTTCTCAGCTCTGTTTAATGAAAACCCAGCAGAGGTGAAATGCCAGCTATGTTTCTAGGCAACAGGGTTTGCAAGCAGTTCACTGAAACCGGACATATCCCTCAGGATAACCAGGAAGCTATGTCTATGAAACTGTTCTTATGAGATGCCGATTCCCTTTGGGAGAAAGGACTTCTTAAACTGACCCTATACCCGCCTATGAGATCTTATTCTCTTATACCTAAGCTGACAGTTGGATAGCTGAGGAAAACAAGCTTCAGGAATGCTGCAAAGCCTCCCATGAAGAGAAAACACCTGATGCTGCCCTGCTATCCCCTCCTGTTTCTGAAAACAGTCCCAGTGACGAACGTAATACACAGTCATATAAACGTCTCTGGCTGAGTCTAAAAAGAATCTTTGCTGAACCTCTCAAGAATCCTGGCTTAGAGCAAGAGGCATGGTGGGAAGGGTGAGGAAAAGTTGTTTTAAACACTATCTTGTACAAGTCCCAGAAGTCAATTCCTCTCTCCCCAAATGACCTTAAAACCCAAGTCTCTATGTAGTGAAGACACTGAAAACCTCAAAAGTAGCTGCAGTGTCACAGTTAATTTACCAAATTGATCTCTAACTTTCTTCCTATTTTTTTTCTTTAGAAATTTCCTTTCTTTATTGAAAGCTAAGCTATACATTCAGAAATATATATTTTTCCCTTTTATCCAGTATTTCTAGGTGTTCTATTTGGAAGGGGTTGTCCAGGATATGTAATCTATCAGACTTCCAGAAAAATAAATCTCTGAGAATTCTCCTTCTGTTTCGGTTATAAATATTTTTGTCTAGGAGGGAGGTTGAGTTTAACTCAGGTGAGTAAGGCTCAGGGCTTCCTATCAGATAAAAAGGTCTGAAAAGAAAAAAAAAAAGAATATCCCAAACATTTTTTAATGTGACTTTTGCTCCTGCCTGTTAACACTTTGTCTACCTCTTTGGAAAGATAAAATTATTCATTTATTCAAGCATATGTATTTATTAAGTTTTCCATTTTATAACAGAATGTTAATCTTAAACTCAGCACTGATTCAAAGCACATGGTTCCACACATATAGAACACAGTACAGCCATAATTCAGGACTCTAAGAAACAGAAGCTCACTTCCTTATATGAATCAAAAATATGTATCAAAGCCTCAGGTGAGACAAACAATACTTATTAAACAATCTAGCTGAAAAGACAGCAACTTATCAATTCCTCTGTGGTTCTCATCTTAAGCATAAGCATCACCCTTGAAACTTTCTAAATGTCAGACGGCCAGACCCCACTCTCCATCTGGGAGAGACCTCCACATGTTTGGTTTTGGAAATCTCCATAGATTCTTCCTCTAGTGGGCAAAACTAAGGGGGAGAGCTAGCATCTTACTTAAAAATCTATTCCCAGATTAAATATTAATAATGAATGTCTGTACATATTACATACTTATAACAAAAGTAGACAATATATATACTTTCATATAATACAACCACATCACAACTGGTTTCGGTGTATGACAAGATGGTCATGTTATAGGAGTGCACTATAGGCATCTTAAAAAAAAAAAAACCCTATGAAATCCATTGCCCTATTTAGTATGGATTCAGTAGGATGTTAATTAATAAGTTAACCACTAAATTACACAGTGCTTCTGTATGAGAAATCACAGCAGAACTTTTAAGGTCTCAGGACTAGTTGTACTTTCTCAGAAAAAGTGATTTATTTTTCTGTTTCAAACAACAAGAATCATGTAACTACTCTTCTATTCTCCTGTACTGTGGCTACTACAACGAAGTTTATACGCCACTTTGTGGCCCAGGGCTGGCCTATCTACAGGTCTCATGACACAAACTTTGTGAACTAACCACACTCTTTTTTCCACTTTATCTTTTAATTGTTTTCCTTTTCCTATTTTTCTTTCATTTAAAAAACGATGTTGTATTTCACTATACATTTCTGTACCTTTCCTTAAAACTTTATGGAATAAGTTGGGATACATATGAAAAATAAAATATTTATAACTGGAATGATTTCATTATAGGTTGAAAAACAGAGCCAATGTCAAAGCCGTGCAAATACTGTGACATGTTAGAAACGGACGTACATGGATAATCACAGTCTCATCAGAGGAATTTAAATGCACTAAAATGCTGCTGAAAATTATAACAGCAGTAGTGCAAAAAGTCTATTATTCAATTTGAAGAGGTAAAAATAACCATGCTGCAGTTAAAATTAAGACATAAAAAACACAAATGCATCCAGTGGTACTGAACAAACTGTATCTGAATATTTACCATAAAAATTACATCTACAAGGTAGAAGAAAATATTATTTACACCCAAAACTAGGTCTTTATTGTATAACATTAAAGTCAAATTAAATCACACTGGAAAAATTAGATTTTCTATTAATAACCTGACAGAAATTTTGTACATGGTCTTTGGAAAACAAGGAATACTTATTTTTATTTTAGTTATTACAAACATACCTGGCCATGTAGCTATCACTATATGTTTTTCTTTTGCTTGTAAGCACACCTGAGGCAGGATTTCGGGCCAAACTAGGTGGTGTGGAATTTCGAGGTTTGATGTTAGTCCTAGAAGACAGAAATAGATGGCATAATAAAAAAAAACTACTGAATAGTAAGCATTTCTTTCACAAATTGCTTATTAGAATGATTAGAAAAATAATTAGAAGCTATAGAGAGGTAAACTCAAAAGATTAAAATCCACAATTATTTCACATCTGAAATCCTTAATACGAAGTAAAAGCTGAAGCATTTTGCATTGACTAACATTATCTTGAGGGTACATAAAATCATTTAAAAATGTCTATATATTCTTGACATGAAATTTATGTTAGTCATTCTAAAACACTTCAAAATTTTTTAAAGTTTAAATCTACAGTCCCCTCAAACTAGAGATAAGTCTTGTTGAGTGCCTAGAGTTAAATAATAATGTTAGATGTATGAGATGTGGTTAAAAATTTTGCTAACCATTTTTAAAGAATAATATTCCATTTATGAAAGTTTGATCTTAGAAAAAGCAACTAGAATGAATCGGTTAATAATATACTCTTGCTTCTAAAGATTTTAATTTCACCAACTATACAACCTGGGCTATCTGTTATCAGTAAAGTGGCTGATCATACCTTTCTGAACTCACCTTCTGAAAATTCCGGAATCAAAGAACACTTACGTATGAGGTAAAAATGGTAAAATGTATAGGCTTTGGAATTCAGATGAATCTGGATTCAAATCCCAACTGCCACTGAACAACTCTGGGTCTGGCAATCTGAGTCCAGGTTCCCTTGTGTATAACATGTGACCATCATCACTTATAGAAGTCAGATATATAAAATGTAATTGATACTACATTTGGCATAGCTAAGGGTGATGATGGTATTACTACTATTAGTATTGCTACTACAAGTTAACACTTACATTAACACTGTTTACTACATTTGATGTAGATGCATTTTTTTTTTCCTGGCCACACCTCACAGCATGAGGGATCTTAGTTCTCCAACCAGGGATCGAATCCATGCCCCCTGCAGTGGAAGTGCAGAGTCCTAACCACTGGACCGCGAGGGAATTCCTATGACTACATTTCTAATCGTCTTCATATAAAATTTATTTAATCCTCATAATAATCCTATGAAGCAGTAAGGATTACTAATTCTATCTTGCAAAGGAGGCAACTGAGGCAAAGAATAGTTAAGTAATTTCCCCAAGGTGACAGATAAGTCATTGCAGAACTAGGTGTAAGATGTTCTATAGTGTTAGTTTCCTCCCTCTCTTTAGAAATTTAGTTAAATCTTTTCATTTCAGAGATAAGCAATATTGTGTTACCTGATCAAGCAGAATTCTCTTTAAAAATACACCTTTATAAGTTCTCGAACTCTAGCTGAAATTCTTCCTTCTCTACTTATATAGCAAAGCTGGAGAGAGTCTCCACAAATTTTAAACAGTTGTCTCCAAAATACATACAAATTTTCCAAATGCCCATTACATGCCAGATATGATACCAGGTACTAAACATACTTCGCTTTCTTTAATCTCCACAAAAATCTCTGAAGATATTATTCCCATTTTAAAGTTGAAAAAACTCATAGAGAGATTAAGTGCAAAGCTATTACATGGCTGGGCTTCCCTGATAGCTCAGTTGGTAAAGAATCTGCCTGCAAAGCAGGAGAACCCAGTTCGATTCCTGGGTCGGAAACATCCACTTAAGAAGGGATAACACTCCAGTATTCTTGGGGGCTTCCCACGTGGCTCAGCTGGTAAAGAATCCTCCTGCAATGCGGGAGACCTGGGTTCGATCCCTGCTGTTGGAAAGATCCTCTGGAGAAGGGAAAGGCAACCCACTTCAGTATTCTAGCCTGGAGAATTCCCATGGACTACAGTCCGTGGGGTCGCAAAGAGTCAGACTTGACTGAGCAACTTTCACTCATATTACATGGCCAGAGTGTTTGAATTTGAATTTATGTGGGCCTCATTCCAAATCTTATATTCAACATGCAGTGATGTCATTCAAAGGAAGGCAACTTTGAATACTTAAACTATTTCTAAACTTTGACGGGAATCACCCTGGTGCATGGATGGGTCACCCTGAACCTCTTCAAATGGCCTTCAAACACTCACTGCAAGTCCACCCATGAGGTGTATACTACTCTACTTTCACATGGCCCCTCGAGGGATGTTACAGAACTATCACATGCCTTTTTAGGAATTCAGTTTATGAAAACTCCCTGCCAAATGGCAATTCCTCCAAGTGAGAGTCATAGAGGAACTGGATGAACAGGGGTTTTGGTTTTTTGGCTCAAGAACGAAAACTTGTTAGAAATACTATTGCCCCCATATAACGTACATATGATATATAGACAGTACAAACATAGCAATGCATATACACATACAACTTCATATCAATAGTTACTCAAATTAGAAAATAATAAAAAAAATAGATAAAATATAAGTTATCAACAAAGGTGTCATTATTCAATGCCTATTGTGTATTTTTAGTAACATCTATAAGGTAGAACTGGAATGCCAAGAACCATTTTGATCAGTACTTAAAACATGCTACTCCAGGTCTCACACCATCAACACATTTTCCTTCCTGGTCAGAGTCTGAAAGTGCTACCTTATTTATGTGTCCATTAATACAATCTGCCTGCTGGAGTTAAAGCCAATAATAAAAGAAGGTCTAACTTTGCAACGGCACTTCCTCTACCCCACTGCTAAACACTGTTTCTTTGCGATCTGCTTCGGAGGGTACAGACAGCAGGAACAGTACAAAGAAAAGCTCAGCGCACAAATTCTTCCTTCTAGGATTTATCACTGTCTACTTAAAAACAACACATGATGGCTGCTAAAGACTCAGACTTTTCCTGTTTTTGTTTTATTATATATCTAGCTAAATGTATTATTATTTATGGAAAAAAGAATGCTGTGTAGACTTTGGTTTAAAAGTTAATTAGGTGAGCTCTATTAAGTAATTTAACTTGTGAGACCCTCAAGTCATCATTTTAAGATGAGAGGGCAAGACTTGCTTTGGGGGCACAAACTTGTAAGCTTGGAAGACTGTGCAGAGTCCCAAGACTGCCACTGCCACTCCTGCTTCTTCTCTTAGTCTGCGGGCCAGTACAAAGAAGGGAATGTGATTACTGCCCTTTGTTATGTGGAATTTTTAACTATCTAACACAAAGACTAAGGATCCCTGGATTGAATGTGTTCTAAGATCTTTTTCCTGCCTTTTTATAATAATTTATCATCTACTTAACTAAGAGATACTCTAGCAATATTTTATTTATATAATAAATGATGTAATGTTCCCTATTTTACTCCTAAAAAAGTTCCATAAAAATAAAATTATTAAGGTAACTCATTTCAACCCTCTGAAAATTAAAATTTAACTTAAAATTAAAATGTAAATTTTGTTCAATGAACGCTCTAAAAATAGACAGGATAATAAAAATGCTCATCAAAAATCAAAGTGTTATAAATCCTAGAAGATTATTCAACACTTCTTGGCTTAAAAATGATTAAATAAAAAATTTTAAGTATAGCAATGTACAGATTTATAGTATTTCATTATATAAAGCCTTTAAGGAAATATCTGAAAAACATTAACCAAACTGAGTTACAAATACTTACTTGTAAATGGGTAATAACTCATGTCTTTTGATGGCACTGTCTGATTTTGTATCACTCTCATACAACTTTTGCACATGTCTTCCAGTTCGAAGTGGAGGGCCTAACTTGTCCATCTTACTATTAAAATATATAAAGGTGTACCCATAAGGAGAATGCTACTGTTTCTTTATATTAAAAAAAAAATAAGACATTATTCTGATTCATCAGAAATCTACCCCCCAAGCTCTTTCATAATTATCTGACTGCCAGGGTAAGGACTAATGTCAAAAAGAATCCTCAGATAGTTCATACAATTGCCATTATTAAATATGAAAATCTGACTACACAGGCCACCCTGCCAGTTTTGACAAACATACTAACATAATCCACGCTTACACATATCAGGGCAGTGGAATCAATTAAAAAAAAAAAACAAAACACCTTAAGAAGGACAACTGTTTAAAATTTGTGAAGCTAGCAGTGAACTGGAAGTTATTATTCTGGTAAATAAATACACATATGATGCTTGTTCTTATGGAGCTCACAAATCATCTAACTGTCCCCTTCCCTGAATTCACAGAACTTTCCTATTTCTGAAATTTATCCAAAGAAACATTAAGCATGATCCTATGAAAACACTGATGATGGCAATTCTAAAAACTACATGGAAAAATTATAAGTGGCCATGCTGTCTGAAGCTAATATTTTTAACCAAAATTAGAAAGGACTGTCAGCTACTAAATAACAGAAAACTGCAGGTTTGCAGAGATTTCATTATTTTACATCAAACAAATGATACTATCATCAATCAATATCCATTCATAGTAGGGAGCAGGGAAAATTAAATTAGAAAACTAGGAGTACTACCTTCAATGACTATTGAATGACACATCACTGCTTGATAACAAAGAGTTTTTTTAAGGGATTTTTGTTTACTCATTTAAATCCTGAGCACCTACTATGTATCAGGCACTGTGCTAAATTTTGGGGATACTGTGGTAAATAAGACAGACCTGAAGCTTTGTTCTTATTGCAGAGTTTAGTGTCTCAAAAGAATCTGGTCATCCCTCTAGATAATAAGGATCTCTACAGAGGGACTCATTTTATCCAGTCTCTGTTCCTTCAATATCCTATAAGCAGCAGGCATTCTGCTGTAAAAGTTGATATCAATACTTTGCAGGCGGTGCTGCTTTACATTAGGTGTTTACATCACACTCAGTAAAACATTTTAAAGAATTTTTTTAAATGCCTCCAATAAACATATTGCATATTTATTACATATAAAATAACAAAACTTCTAAAATTTTTGAGATTAACATTTTATGCATTTTATTTGTGAGCAATTAGTAGAAAATTAACCTATTTAGAATTTTAATTAATAAATCAGATTTTTTTTTTAAATTATGTAATAACAATCAAAGCACTATTGTTCCAAACAGTATTTTTTTTACAAACGGTATCTG